ATACATGCGGGGCTTATTGTAAGTGAAAGTAGTCTCGGAATGGGCGTGATTCTCCAGACATTCTGAAATGGGTTGCTGGATCTAGAGCTATCACTTTCTAACTCCCGGACTATAGCTGTCTACAATGACCATAAATGCGACATTGTAGAAAGAGTTCTTCCATAATAACACTGCCGGCCAGTGGGGGTTAGAGGGAATACACACACACATATATCGTTTGTGACCTACTAATCAAAGTGTGCCCTAACGTGCCGAACAGTGTGACGTGCTGTGTTTTGGCACAGTGAGCAGAGTTGTTAACCCCTTGACTGTAATGCAGTATTTCTTCAATACATATGCTTATCTGTGAGTCTGAATTGTTTGTTGAGAAGTTAAAAGATAAGTTAGCGTATTTCTCATTTTTCTATGCGGTGGCTTCACCGTTGCTCAAGCATAACGCTATTTTATATGCTCCTTTATTGCTGGCAGAGGTGCCAGTCTTCTTAATATGTTGTCTTCGATTAAAGAAAAATTTAATGAAATTGGTATGAGAAAATTACTTCAACAATAATTTAGCTATGTTTTGCATCATGTTATACATGTTGAAGAAACAATGCATAGAATGACATCTAAGGCTTGTACTCGAAAAAAAAAAAGTACCATTTTTATCCGTGTGTAACTTTTTTATCCGTGGGAAAAAAATGATGAAAATCTGGGTATAACTAGTTTGGAGTGAATTGTTTACATGTGCAAAATTTCATAACAATTGGTTCAATGGTTATTAAGATGTCATCGAAGCAAGAAGAAAATCGACGGATAATTTTGCGCGCCGTTATGGAAAATCCGACTGCGACCATGAGATGGATCGGAAGACAACTGGGAACCACCCATACAACTGTGTCTCGGGTGGTAAAATCGTTTAAGGAGTCCCAGACGACCGAGCGGCGGGCTGGAAGTGGAAGAAAATCGATGACAGCTGACCCTGTTAAGGCCCGGAAGGTGTTGGATTATTTCAAGCGTAATCCGAACCTTTCGATTCGCGACGTGGCTCTGAAGGCAAAGTGTTCCGCCTGGTTCGTTCAGCAAACCATGAAACGAGCTGGGCTTCGTGTATTCAAGGTCCGGAAGGCACCGAACCGGCGTGATCAACAAAACACGGTGGCCAAATCCCGCGCAAGGAAGCTGTATCGAGAGTGGTTGACAAAACCGATGTGTGTGGTTATGGATGACGAAACCTACATCAAGGCAGACGCAAAGCAGATACCGGGGCTTGAGTTCTACGTTGCCAAATCACGGTTTGATGTTCCGGAAGACATAAGGAAGAAGAAAGTGGACAAATTCGCCAAAAAATACTTGCTGTGGCAGGCCATATGCCAATGCGGTAAACTGAGTAAACCGTACCATCAACAACGAAATTTACCGCACCGAGTACCTCGAGAAGCGTCTGTTGCCTTTCCTGCGGTCCCACGGAGGCGAGACATTATTTTGGCCGGATCTGGCATCATGTCATTACGCGCGATCGACGTTGGATTGGTACAGAGACAATAACGTTGTTTGTGTACCAAAAACCGCCAACCCCCCAAATTCCCCAGAGATTCGTCCGGTGGAAAGATTTTGGGCCATAATGAAGGCCAAAGTTTGAAAATCGTCCAAGGTGTTTAAGAACGAGCTGGAGTTGAAGAAAGAATGGATGAAAGTGACCAAAAAGGTCGGCTCCACCATTGCACAAAATGTAATGAGGGGTCTTAAGGGAAAGGTGCGGTTTTTCAGCGATGGAAAGGAAATTGAATAAAGTAATTATGCCGAAACATAACCCACATGTATTTGTTCATTCTCTGAAAGTTTCAAGAAAATCCGACTTTTGTCTGGTGCATTCTTTTCGAGTACAGGCCTTATTCCATTGTTATATGTGATGGTTTTCAAATAAATCACCAAAAACAAATATTTGATAGTGATAAAGGGTGATACGGTCAAAATTTGGTCAAGGGAAAACGCGTGTAAATCGGTGAAATCGTTTATTTAAAAAATCAAATTAAATTTCTTTTTCAAGTTCAATTAGTATAAAATTCAGGAAAAATATTCAGTTAGGCTTCCGCTTTTCCAAATCCGAATTGCCGGGCCTTACGCTTGACCCCTGCCATCAGATTTTGTACAGCCACCTTGTCCACCTTCTTCGCCGCAGAAAGCCAGTTTGCCTTAAACTGCTGCTTGCCCTTAGCAGTTTTTTTGGTCTTCTTTAGGTTCCGCTTGACAATAGCCCAGTATTTCTCAATTGGGCGGAGCTCTGGCGTGTTGGGAGGGTTCTTGTCCTTGGGAACCACCTGCACGTTGTTGGCGGCGTACCACTCCATGGCCTTTTTACCGTAATGGCAAGATGTCAAATCCGGCCAAAACAGTACGGAACAACCGTGTTTCTTCAGGAAAGGCAGCAGACGTTTATTCAAACACTCTTTCACGTAAATTTCTTGGTTGACAGTCCCGGAAGCTATGAAAATGCTGCTTTTCAAGCCACAGGTACAGATGGCTTGCCAAACCAGATATTTCTTTGCGAACTTTGACAGTTTCATGTGCTTGAAAACATCTGCTACCTTTCCCCTTCCTTTTGCCGTATAAAACTTCTGTCCCGGAAGCTGCTTGTAGTCGGCTTTGACGTAGGTTTCGTCGTCCATTACCACGCAGTCAAACTTCGTCAGCATCGTCGTGTACAGCCTCCGGGATCGCGCTTTGGCCGTCGTATTTTGTTTATCATCGCGATTTGGAGTCACTATACCTTCTTGTAAGTCGATAGTCCGGCTCGTTTTTTGGCTCGATGCACGGTTGTAGACGATACACCCAGCTTATTTGCGGCATCTCGGAGAGAGAGGTTAGGGTTTCGCTTGAAACTACCGGCAACTCTCTTTGTCGTCTCAGCGGCTTCCGGTTTTCGATTTCCCCCCGATCCAGACTTCCTGGCTGTCGACAAACGTTCCCCAAACACTTTAATTACATTTGTAACGGTTGATTTGGCAACTTTTAGCGATTTTGCCAACTTTGCGTGCGAGTAGCTCGGATTTTCGCGATGCGCGAGCAAAATTTTGATACGCTGCTCTTCTTGCTTGGACGGCATTTTGACAACTGAAGAGTGAATTCCAAAATCAAAATAGGAGCAACATTCTACACACACACACCTTCAAAATGAGGGGTGTTCAGGTTTTTTAAATGCAAAATTGAAAGAAATACGTCAAGTTGATATTGACCAAATTTTGACCGTATCACCCTTTATCATTGAAATTTGATTGTAGTCACTTTAACGCATTTTAGGTCATTCGTGACTTGTCCGGAGATTTGATGAGATTCGAGAAATCAGACGGGGAGGATGGATACCGGGAAAATGCAGACAAATAACATCCATTTTAAAAATAGGTTCAATGACCATTCCTTTCAATAAAAATCACCACATTTGAACCAAACTATAAATCATCCGGTAAAGAACACAGTATCCGCATTTCCTCTGAGGGTCTTTGTTTGCGTTTTAATTAGCATGCTGTTCCAAAGTGACAATCCTTTTACATCCAACCGTGCTGGTATTTCCCGCACGACACACAACTACGCTATGTTGTCATGCGTTGTAAAACCTGCTCCCGATCATACATACCTATGTCGGTTTTCATCAACTGTGTTTTGTTGTGATTACTCATCCTCCACCATATCCGCGACGACGACGACGCTGACGACGTCACAGACCGAAAGGTGGTTTCTTTTGTAAGCAGTTAATTTTCTTCAATCATGACATACAGTAACCCCGCCATATATGCGGTTGGTGGTACCATCCACCCACCGCTGTTTCTCGGCTGGCTTTTGACCAATTACCCTGATTTTTTTTCCTAAGTGATTAATGTCAACCATAAACTACAGAAAATCAAGTCAATTGGTTGAAGGACAGCCGAGAAATAGCGGTGGGTGGACGGTACCACCCACAGCATATATGGAGGGGTTACTGTACGTTCTCGGCATGTGTTTGTGAGCATCAAGAGGTACGGTTATTCTCTTTATTGGATTTAAAAACCAATCATCTGTGGTGGTAATAATTACATTTTCGTTCACGCAAATGTGAAAACCCAACAAGTGGGAAATTGCACTTGACTTTAAAAGCTTATGGCTTCGGAAAAACCGGTGGAAGCCAAATTAGAGAAAAAACAATTTTTCCGATAAGCGTTCGATTGGCTGGAAAGTATAATGAAATTGTATGGGTAGTATGAAACAAAGAATTCACGCTAACATTTCAAAGGGGTGTAATTGCTCTTGTAGACAGTGGCTTTAACCGTTGATTTTTCGCAAATAAAAGTGCATCACTCTAAATTAACAATGCTAGGTGGTAGAGGAAACATTCATCTACCTGTTGGTGTCAGTAATTTTCATGTGTGAGCTTTTATTCGCGAGAAATCGTCATTGTTTACAAAACCAATTATGCCCCTTTGAAAATTTGACACTGAATTTGGCTTGATATGTTTTCTTCTTTCTGGTTTCTGCTACGTTTCTACTGGGACATAATGTCTGCTCTATACTGTTTTGACCTAGTCTAAAATTGGTAAATGCTTTACATATCACTGCATAGTGTATATTGACCTAATCCATCCCAAAACCTTTGTCTAGGGATGAGGGGATGAGGATAACATTTCCAGACAGGAATGATTCTTGACTTATTGGCTTTTCATTGAAAGCTTGCAGAGGCCCTTCAGGGTAGTATTGGATTTTTGGATAAAATTTTGCCTACCACTGTACCCACCATGTCGAATGAACGCAAATCGCAACAAATCGTATCCGAAATTTGCATGTGTGTTTGCGACCATCGTCACAGACGCAAATAGCAACCAGCAATTGGCATGACAATTCACCGAAGCATAAAGTCGCGAACTCGCAAAAAAAATAGTATTACTACTGTTACTCACTACTGTTGTAGTAGTTTGCTGATCTTGGTTTCATTCGATATAAACATGATTGGTTTACCCGAGTCGGTTGGTTTTCGCTTTATTTGTATTTCGATCGTCGAGGCAAACGGATGCTACTGCTACGTTGATCGTGCGGTGTTTGGTTTCGGTGATTTGAAGGCAGATGCTGAAGTGTGATCTGATCTGCCAAACGGCGATTTTCTTCGATAACTAAGTCACTAGACGCTATTGTTAACGATTCAAAAAAGTGCTATTGTCAACTTCAGTCAAGTGAGGAATTTCTGACTCATTTAATTAATTAACTGTGCCTCGAAAAAGAAGCAACAACAACGACGGTGAAACAGTGGATCAGAACCGGTTCCAGAAGAATTTATTATCATCTCGTGAAACGGGGTGATGTAATTCGGTAACCGTGAATAGCGAAGACCAGTTGACTTTCGTTGTTCGTGAAAGAGTAGTGATTGACGAAGTGAAAATCGATTTTTGAATACAGAGAAGAAGGTCAGTGAACGGAAATGTCCAACACGAACGAGACCGACAAATATGTTGAAATTGTTATCGAAGAAGCAGCCGGCAACAGCATTGGCAACGAGACGGACACGAAACCGACAGCCACTGTGGTGCCGGTAGTTCCGGAAGTGGTCAACTTACCAAAGGAGGAAGCCAGGCCACCAAAGTCCAACAGCAGTGGCACCCGGGGACGGCAGTTGAAACCAGACTCGAACGGAACTCGCAGCAGATCGGGCAGCGTAAGTGCGACAGAAGGGTTCTTCGTCGGGGAAAAAAACAGTTGTTTGCGTGATAGGTGTGGTATGTAAGAACTGCAATTGACCAGAGCGATGTGGTACGAGTTTTATGGATAAAAGTTCATCAGTCCGAGACCGATGCTCGTATAATTACCAGTTGCATGAGGGGTTGCAGAGTATGTCACTTCACTGAGCGTCTTTGATGGCCATGAGTGCAATTTAACCTTTTCATTCGTCATCGCGAATGGAATGCATCCGCGACTGATTGTAACGATTAATCTCCGTCTGTTTTATTAAAACTTCAACACTAGGGTGCTTCATTTTCGAAAAATAAACATACAATCATGGTCCAAATATTACTGTGGTGGAGATTACCGTATGCGTGATAATGTTTGCACCATTGAGCAGTTTCAAAATTAAAAAAATTCTCAAAAATTTCGTTTTCGAGTTTTTTTTTTATTTATTTAAGGTTCAATTTACTTTGATGCTTTTTCGAAAAATTCAAGAGCAGTTTTTTTTCGACGCATTAGTTCAGATTGCAAAATGCTCGCACTATTCGATTCCTTTTGCTATTCTACACAAAATGACGCGAGCTTTTAGCAATCTGTAATAATGCGTTGAAAAAAACTGCTTTTGAATTTTTCGAAAATGCATCAAAGTAAATTGAATCTTAAAGGGGGATGTTTCTCAGAGTCTTAAACTATGTTTATCATCGATCGAGATTCAACTTGCTGCAATTACGGCCTCCACACGCTTCCGGAATGCACGGCAGCTTCTAATAATGTAGTCTGGATCCATTTCTCTCCAGGTACGGGTCAATGTTTGTCTGAGGCTTGCTGTACTCGGGTGGCGTTTAGAACAGGCCTTGGCCTTCATGACGCGCCATATTGAGTAATCCAGTGGATTAAGATCGTGGCTGGTTGGCGGCCACATATCCTTGGCCCTGAACGGAAGATGTTCCTGCAACCACTTCTGAGTGCGGTTCGAGGTGTGGCACGGAGCCCCATCTTGCTGAAATAACAACATTTGGCTTCGGACCGTACTGTTCTTTGATCCACGGAAGAAAATACTTACTTAAAATCCCGATGTAGACCTCCGTGTTGACCTTGTTGCCTTTTGCAATGAACACCGGGTCCATTTTTTGCCATCGAAAGCCACCAATCCAAACACCATAACGCTAGCAGGATGCTTGGTCAGATACACGTTCTTGTGCTCGTCGGCCACGTTTTTTACCGGAAGAGAACTGATATACCGCTCGGTTCTGGAATTTGATACGGGATCAACGGTAAACATGCTCTCGTCGGTGAACAGGATTACCGGATTTTTTCGCTTAAGGAAGTTCAAGATTTTCTTGCATCGTAGCTCTCGGATGCGGTTGGTAATCATGTGAGTTTTTTTTTTTCCGTGCCCTCGACTTCACCCCGCAATCTTCCTTTACGATCTTCCGTGCCGTATAGTCACTGTTCCCGTGTTCCTTTGCCATTTTTCTTATTGAACGCACTGGATTCACCCGAATCTTCTTTTTGATAGCAGCGATAACTCTCGGAACCCGAGCTGACCTCGGACGACCTGTGGCCACCTTCACGGATAGTTGTCCTTTCTTTTCTCGGTCTAAAACCCTTTCGATGGTCCACCGGAACCTTACCGTAAACCTTTTTTTTTAATACACAGCCTACTACGGTATGAGCTATAGTCTTCTCTGACGTTTGTGAAATACACAAGTATTAGTGCTGAACTCGGGGTAAATTATAAGTATTAGTGCAAGAAAACCTTTGAATTTACCCAAAGTTCTGCACTAATACATGTATAATTCACAAACGTCTATAGGTTACGTGCATGCAAAGAAAACCAAGGCATTGTAGCACAGGTGAAACGGTAACCTTAATAGAGATTGCTAAAGTATGATTGTGTAAGTGATTTGTTTTCATCGGGAAAATTTTCCGCTATGAAGTTTTTTTTTCCCGATGAAAACATTTTGCGTATACGTATACGTGACGCATACTACGTACGACAAACGTCAGCAATCTCTATTGTACGATGGTGCAAACATTATCACGCATACGGTAAGGCGAAATACTATGGGAGGTTTTTTTTAATTTCATCAATATTGCTCTAATGTTGGTTCTGAATTCTGTCAAATGATGGTTCTAAATTCTGTCGAAATCAAATATGTGGTTGCTATGACAATATTCAACATTCCAATCGTTGTTTCAATCAAATTGATGTATTTGACAGGCACATGTCTACTTTCTTTACAAACACATACCGAAACTTTTCAAAATTCATTATCAATGACCATGGTCAAAACAGCACGGAAATTTAAATATGACTTTACATGTTTATTATGACGCAAATTAGACGTAATGATTGATTAAAAGTGAAATATCCAGATTAAAATATCGTTTGGTACTCTGAGCATTAAGGTATTTACTTACATTACTGTCTGTTCATATTTAGTCATTTTAACGCATTTCATAATATCATGAATCACTACTAAAATGACCGTAACGAAGACAGAATTGTTGATTATTATGTGTGACCCCTATATCTTCACGAATCTTCACCAGTTTTTCGCACAGCCCTCATATTTAGCTGGGGTTAGCTTCAATCACTTAATACATAATTGAGCGATTTAAATTCATATGAAACTTTCAAATCATGTTCCCATTTCGTAACAAAATACTCATCATAAACAGGTTCCGATTTCTTGCATCAGCGAAATATAAACGCTGTAGGATGCAGTTTTTTTATTTCCTCAACTACATGGTAGGTACAATGAAACGAATTTACGAATGACTGTAGAAAGTTACATCTCGCAAGCCTTGCAGCAGGAAAGTGGAAACTTGCGCTAAAAAGCAAACGAATTTTGGTCAGCAGATGCACACTGGCTAGCATTGATCGAGACCTTCATGTGTGCGAGTCGAATCGCTTCTCCATGAAGGCCTCTTGAACGTAAAGAAAATGTGAATCGGTTCACAAAATTGGCGAGCTCTTGTGATGTTTTATTATTGAAATAGATAACAGTGGAAAATCAGACTGCGCAAAATTTGAAGTGAAATCTTTTTTCCCTCGCCTAATAGATGAAGACAAATAAGGGCTCTAATTTCACGTGCTTGATTTCAATGAGCTGCAATGGCTAAATACGATTTGATGTAGGTAAATACTACTGAATCGTGAACTTTCGACTTGCAAATTAAATTAGCGTCGATTAAGCTTAAAATCCTTATCCAAATGGAGTTTCCACTTTTCACCCGGTTACTAGACGCAAATTGTTTTTTTTTTGTGGATGGGAAACACTTGAAATGCCAGGATTGAATCGTCGTGATGTTTGCCCAAAAAATATCGAATCACAAAAATAAGATAATTCGACAACCCGTCATCCGAGAAAATAAAATCCATGGTCTTTATAATTCCATTATTGAAATTTATATATCTTAACCCATTATCGCCCAAGGCAATGAGCAACTTGTTCGAAGATGGAAACTTGTAGAACGTCAAGATTGAAATGTCAAGATAATTAGAAGATTCCGTAGTACTTTGTCATTTCAACTAAATATTCCGCATGTTATTATGAAGCTCAATAGAGCTCTACTAGTTCCAAAACTTGATGGTCTACGATTTTTTGTTAACTTTTAAGTACCTTAAAACAAATGGGAACAAATCATCGCAGATAGATCATGTCGTAGCAGTTGAACATCCAAACAAATTCAGAATGCAATATATACGGGAAAACTGGACTGGACGGAACTAAACATTGATCATAAAATGTTGATATGTGGTATCAAACTGATTGAAGAATTTGAAAAACCAGAAGAAAAAAGTAGAAGAGTCTGTGCCTAGGGGCACGAACGGAAGCTTGACGTAGGACCGCTAGTGGACGGAACAAATGTGAACATTTAGTTCTTTTAATTGATCAATCATCAAGATAATTATTATCTTAACTCTTTCCGTTTTTTATTTGTAAGCGTATCAAATTTGTAGTATTTATTTCAAAGAGAATGTTGATGAGGAGAATCCAAGGGACTGTCAACTTGAGTATTTTTGAGTCATCTACCCGACTTTAAAAGGTGTATTTTGAATTTTTTTTGTTATTTATGAATTTTTAAGTTTTGTGCATTTTGATATTAAAGTGTATTCAATTCACCCCTCACAGGATTTCCTTCCGAATTATATGAATGGGGCGCCCCGTATCGTTTGTGCAGAATATGTAAAAAAGGAGGGACTTCGAGAGATTGAACTCGTGAGAGCTAATTTTCTCACAAATCTGATTTTATTGGCTTTATGGGGACTGAATGTACACTCAAAGCGAATTATTCTCACTTCTCTCAAATTCTATATGGATTTTTAACACTTCCTACCAGCGTGTTCTGGAAAATGGCTGGGCGATGATGTATCTCACCAATACATTCGGGCCTACAATTCCACACCTTCTATAGAGACCAGGTTGAGCCTTGATAGCTAGCTGCTTGCGGGAACTGATGGCCTTGACAAATTTCCAAATAAAGGGTGATACGGTCAAAATTTGGTCAAGGGAAAACGCGTGTAAATCGGTGAAATCGTTTATTTAAAAAATCAAATTAAATTTCTTTTTCAAGTTCAATTAGTATAAAATTCAGTAAAAATATTCAGTTAGGCTTCCGCTTTTCCAAATCCGAATTGTCGGGCCTTACGCTTGACCCCTGCCATCAGATTTTGTACAGCCACCTTGTCCACCTTCTTCGCCGCAGAAAGCCAGTTTGCCTTGAACTGCTGCTCGCCCTTAGCAGTTTTTTTGGTCTTCTTTAGGTTCCGCTTGACAATAGCCCAATGGGCGGAGCTCTGGCGTGTTGGGAGAGTTCTTGTCCTTGGGAACCACCTGCACGTTGTTGGCGGCGTACCACTCCATGGCCTTTTTACCGTAATGGCAAGATGCCAAATCCGGCCAAAACAGTACGGAACAACCGTGTTTCTTCAGGAAAGGCAGCAGACGTTTATTCAAACACTCTTTCACGTAAATTTATTGG